CCCATCACAGAGTCGATTGCCAGTCATTATAGGGAATGACTACTACCAGCTGCCCAGCCAAGTTGATACCTGACCTTAACTACCACACCACCCCAAATAGGCATGGATAATGGGATTTACAAAACATCACAGAATGGAGGACAATGGCTAGAAGGGCCACATCAAGCAACTCACTAGACCTACAAAACTGTAATTCGATGGAGATTTGGGAAGTCAGATCTGGGTCCAGACCCCTGTCTCCTTGCATTGTCACTTTGCGATAAATAATCTTCTCATCTCTCAGTCACTCGGTGTATGAACTATCTTGGCCTGACTGCACACCAGATAGGGACTCGCGTTTTGTCCTATTTCAGGTTCAAACCACTGACCTTTAGGTTAGCAACTGTGTGCTTAACCACCATGTCACTTGGGCTTTTATACATATTTCATATATACATAAAGTTTCAAATATTCTATTAATCTTCATGGCTAGTAAAAATCTTCTAATTTAAATAATTGCTTCAATATTCTGAAAGTTTAAGAGCTATTCCAGGAATATTTAATATTTCTGGGAAACTTATAACTCAGAGGAAAACCCCCTGGAATTCAAGGGCCACACAGACCTATAAGAAAGCAAAGGGTTAAATGTAATCTTAAAATTACACAGTGTTAGCAATTAACATCACCTAGAGATAGTGTACAAACTAACCACAGTTTGTGAGTGAAGAAATACAAATCCAGAGAAGTTAACTGAGTGTGGTCATATATTTGGTGGCTAAGTAAAGACTAATTATCAGTATTATCCAAAGAGGTTCAGATGTGAGACAAGTTGAGGCTAATTGAGGGGAACAGTGAGGTGAGTGTAACTGTGGTAGATGAAAACATTCAATGGAAGAGTGTGTTCAAGTAATGAATGGAATCATGAAAGGCAAAATTATGTTGACAGAATTGGGTTATTCATTTACATTTTTTGTCAGCAAATTTGTATTGAATATTCAGTATGTTTTGACCTTAGGCTAGATTCTGGACATATAGCAAAAAATAAAAATGTATGTGATTTCAGACCAAATGTAGTTTATAGGGGAGCTCTGGTAGCTTAGTGCTTAAGGCACTTGACTGCTAACCAGAAGGCTGGTGGTTCAAACCCACCAGCCACTCCTCGTAAGGATGATGGGGCAATCTACTTCTGTAGTGATACTGCCTCGGAAACCCAAGGAGGGGTCTCTATGAGTCAGGTCCAACTCGACAGCACATAACAACAACAACAACAACATAGTTTATAGGCTTATAGGAAAGAATGGTAAGGTATCTCTATCTCTAATGCTATCTCTATATCTATCTACGTATGCACAAATTGCGTACACATATAACTTGTGGTAAGTATTTTAAAGAAAACAACAATTAAAAACAAAAGAGTAAAATAAATTAGGCTGGGTGTTCAGGGGTCCTCTCAAATATAGTGTCTTTTGATAATGAAATTTTAACAGACTCTCACACAATGAGAAGAAGTAAGCAGAATGAAGACTTGAGGAAAGATCAGTGAAATTGTCCTGAAGCCAGAAATATCTTAATGAATTTGAAGAACTCAAGGAGTCATAGAGTTGCTTGGTCAGAGTGAGGTGAGGGTACAAGGTGGGGGGTCAATGTTGAAGAAGACAGGGAAGAATTTTGCAGAATCTTATAAAACATGACAAGGATTTTTTTAATTTTTATCTTAAGTGCAATTGAGAATATTTTTTTAAAATAGTTGATAATAATTTTTTGTGTTCTTTTTTGTTTTTGTTTTTGTTTTTTAATTGTGATTTGGGTGAAAGTTTACAGAACAAATTCATTTTCCATACCGCAGCTCTCACACACTTTGTCTCATGACAGTGACTACAATTTACCACAATGCAACAGCTCCCCTCCCACTTGTTCTCCATAGCCACCTCTTCCCTGTGTCCTTCCCTTCCATGCACTCCTGCCCCCCAGCTGTCTCCCTGTGTATACATAGCCCTTCTATTCTCCCATGATTGTTCTCTCTAAGGAGTGTATCTACCTCATGTAAATGTTCAGCTCATATGCCTGTCTTTTGTTTGGCTGGAAGCCACAGGAGTGGGTTCAGTTCCAGACCTACGGGCACTTAGGGGCCGTAGTCTCAGTGGTTCCATCAGGCTCTGTCAGACCAGCAAACCTGGTCCCTTTTTTTTTTCCCCCAAATGATTTTGAGTTTTCTTCCACATGCAGGATCTCCTACATAGATCTCACTCCAAGTAGTTGACAGTGGTAACCAGGCATCAACTAGTTGTTCTGGTCTCATAGTCATATAGGCTGAGGATCACATGGTGTACCACTCAGACTAATTGTTTCCATGAGTCTTTGGTTTTCTTCATTCTTCTTTGTTCTGGATGAGGAGCGACCCATCGTTGCATCTAGATGGTCACTTGCAAGCTTTTAAGATCTCTACTTGTTACTCACCAAAGTAGGTTGTGGAACAATACAGTTGAGAATTTTTGAATGGTTTTAGAGAATGATATATACACTTTAGGTTTAAAACATGTCACTTTGAGTTGTATGTAAAAAGTATGTTAAAGTTGAAAAAGAGTGGAAGCAAGGATATCATATAGGATGTTATTTTTAATCCAGTTAAGAGATATTAATAATTTATACCAGAGCAGTAATTATTATTAATGGATTATTGATTATTATTATTTGACTTGATTATTACAAGTCAAACTTGATTCGATGGCAGCATGTTTTAGTAGCACAGAAGAGAAAAAGAAACACATAAAGGATATATTTGAGGAAGGACTGACTTAAGTTAATAATGAATTAAAAGTGGGAGTGCAAGAAGAGGAAATGAAACCAATAATTTAAAATTTTCTGAAATAAGCATGGGAACACAACAGCATTAAGATTGCAAGGCTATAAATTTGAAGAACTAATTCTTGACATGTTAAATTTCAAATTCCTAGGACACATCCAGGTAGAGTTGTTACATAAGCACTCAGACATATAAGTTTGAAGTTCAGAAGAAAGTTTTGATCTGGAGATACAAATTCAAGAGATTTTGACACAGACATAGTATTTAAAACCTTAACTCTGATCATTTAGGGAGATAGTGCTATAGGATAAAAGAGACTGAAAAAGACTTATAAGAGATCCAAGGAGAAAATCAGAAGACAATCATGTCATAGAAGCTAAGAGACAAACTATTTCAAAAAGTTAGGACTAGTCATACATGTTAAGAGTTCAAGAAAACATGAAGGCGATTATGGTCTAATGGATTTGGTAATATGGAAGTTTATTTGGCAAAATATTACATGAAAGATTCCAGCCAAAGCCAGATTGGAATGGGCTGAAAATTGAATCAGAATTAAAGAAGAGAAGATAATAGATCATGTCAATAAATATGTTGAGAAATTTGTTTGAAAATGGAGCAGAGAAAAAGAGCTCCGGCTGCATGTGATTATGTGACCAAGGTTGTTGTTGTTGTTGTTATGTGCCATCGAGTTGGACCCGACTCATAGTGACCCCTCCTTGGGTTTCCGAGGCAGTATCACTACAGAAGTAGATTGCCTCATCTTCCTTCCAAGGAGTGGGTGGTGGGTTTGAACCACCGGCCTTCTGGTTAGCAGTCAAGTGCCTTAGGCACTATGCTACCAGAGCTCCCGTGATCAAGGTTATGTGTGTGCTTATTTTTGAAAGAAGAGATACTGAAGTATTCTTAAGTACTGAAAGCACTGATCAAGTGAAAAGGGAAAGGGGGTAGACAGAAAAAACACAAAAAGAAATAAAGTATGAAGAAGGTGAGAGGAAATGAGATCCAGAGAATATCTGATGACTGGATGATTACTCAAAGTCATAGTGCATAGGACTTTTATAAGGCCAACAATAAAGTAGGGGGAAAGATCAGGGGGAAGTTAGGGGTGAGTAAAACTAGCCTTTCCCCTCTTGTGGAAGATGGTCCTCTTGATGGCCTTAATGAGTTCCTTGTTACGAAGACTATAGATAATTGGGTTGGCCAGTGGTGTTAGCACAGAGTAGACTACAGCAAGTGTCCGGTCAAGTGTCAGTGAATAACTCTTCTTTATCCTCACATACATGAAGACGATGCTGCCAAAGAAGATAAGTACCACAGTGAGATGTGAGGCACATGTGGAGAAAGCCTTCTTTCTTCCTGCTGCTGTTTGTATCTTTAGCACAGCCTCAATAATTCTCCCATAAGAAACCATGATAAAGAGGAAGGTGATAAGGATGATGAAAGCATTGATGGAAAAGTCCACCAGGACATTAATGGATGTGTCCTTGCAAGCCAGGCTCAGCAGAGGTGGAAAGTCACAGAAAATGTGCTGGATTTCATTGTAGCCACAGAAGGGGAGCTGGGAGACCAGAATGACCTCAGAAATGGGACACAGGAGGCCACAAGTCCAGCAAACAGCAGCCAACTTGGCACAAAGTGTTGGGGTCATAATTGCAGGGTAGTGGAGAGGCTGGCAAATGGCCAGGTATCTGTCATAGGCCATGGCTGTAAGAAGATAGCACTCAGAGGCCCCTAGGGAGTGGAAGAAGTAGGTCTGAAGGAGACATCCAGCAAAAGATATGGTCTTCTTCTCACTGAGAAGATTGGCTAGCATCTTAGGGATGGTGGTGGCTGTATACCACAGCTCCAAGAAGGAGAGGACACTGACAAAGTGGTACATAGGTGTGTGTAGAGCTGCATCCAGTCGTATGAGTAAGAAGATGAGCAGGTTGCCACATATGGTGAACAGGTATGCCAACAGCAACAGGACAAAGAGCCATTCCTTGACATGCTCGACATTGGGGAAGCCAAGGAGCACAAATTCAGCCAGGCTTGAGTAGTTCTGTTGTTCCATGGGGGACTTGGATGGGAAAGGAAAGGAGAGAAAAATGGGTTCAGGTTACTACCAAATCCAACTCAGAACAGCTTTTCTATAAATGCAGTTTAATTACCACTATTACTACAACACTCTCTCCCCCCAAAAAAAGTAATAGCTCTTACTAATATTTACCATGTGTCAAGCATTTTCCCATGTATTTTGCATTTAATATTTTACCTAATTTTCCAGTGAAATAAGTACCATTGGATTACCTATTTTATAGATGAGAAAAGTCAGGAATGGAGAGATTGAAGATTCTATATCAGTTTTCTACTTCTCTGGTAGCATAGTGGCTAAGGCACTTGACTGCTAACCAGAAGGCTGGTGGTTCAAACCCACCAGCCACTCCCCGGAAGGAAGATGGGGCAATCTACTTCCTCAGAAACCCAAGGAGGGGTCACTATGGGTCAGGTCTGACTCAATGGCACATAACAACAACAATAACACTTCATTATAGGTACTAAGTCACAAAAACAAAATTTCAAATTTTGCTCTCTACGCTGTTTACCTCTATACTATGTGGTCTCCCCCAAACAATTTATCCTCCTTCCTAGGTCATATTTTTCTTTCTGTCAATTATCAGCAAGTTAATTTTGCATATGAAATTAATACAGTGTCAAGTCTCTTCTTATTATTCAATTCACCTCAAAAAACATGTGTCAGGCATAAAAAACCAAACCAGTTTTGTCAAGTTAATTCTCCCTATGATGATCCCATGTATTGCAGAGTAGAACTGTGCTGTATAGGGTTTTCAAGACTGTGACCTGTTGCAAGCAGATTGCCAGGCCTTTCTTCCGAGACCCCTCTGAGTGGGTTCAAACCCTCAACCTTTTGGTAAGTAGCCATGTGCTTCACTGTTTGCATCACCCAAGGACACCTGTATCAGATATAAAGAGTAAAAACCTCAACATGGTACAATCTTTGTCACCAAAAAGTTTATAACCTCATAGAGTAGGCCTGACCCATCCATTGGTAATCTCAGTGTAGTCTGGGACATATAAGACACTAGAGAGTGTCAAGGAAGAGGCTAATTTTTCAGTCCAGGAAGAAGCCCTTAAGCTGAATTTTCTAGGAAGAATAGAAGTTAGGTGTGTGGAGGAAAAAAAAAAAAAAAAAGGCAACTTGAGTTAGGTAAATGCTTGTTCCCAGGAATGGTAAAGCAACCGGGGAAACACATTGAGTGCTTTGAGATTTTATTCCAAAAGCAGAGCATTGCTGAAGATTGTTAGGTAGATGAGTGCCAGGTCTGATGTGCATTTTAAAAATATCACCAAAAAGTAACTATTCTGACCTCAATCCCAGAAATGGAGGTATGAATTTGCCCTGTGTATGTTACTGATGAAAGATGGGTGGGTTTGTTAACACATCTGATAAGAGAATGCAGATTAAAAAATAACCATGATAAAGTGGCAATAAGCATAAAT